GGGCTCCAACTTATGCGTAAAACCGTGGAGCTGGGGCAAAGAAAGGCTGAGCATTGTTGTCGCCATGATAGCAAAAACAGTCTTGACTCAGGCAAATAAATGAATCAATAAGTAACGAAGAGTTTGGGGGACCTAGGATGGCGCACGCAGGGCGCTAAGCTCTGGGAGCTCCCACCTGCTCTGGGGAGCCCGTAAAGTCGCTTGGCCGGTGCTTAAAGATGGGAGGGAGCCAGCGGGCTGTTGGGAAGACGGCTTAATCCACAGCCCCGGCCTCCCGGCTTTCCCTCCGGCTCCATTCATTATTCATCCAGCTGCGGGAAGGAGAGTTCACCTGCCCCGCCACAAATCTGAGCCGCAGCCGCGGCAGCCCGGACGCGGGGCGGGGCGCCCTCTCCGCCCGGTGTCAGGTGGGGGCCACCTGCGGGTGCAGAGCTCCGGCGCGCGACTGGGGCCGCGCGAGGCCAGGAAGTTCTGCCTCCGGTCGACCTCCAGCCCCTGGAGTGCAGTTCTTTGCTCGCTTCCCGGGAGAAAGTGGCGTGGCTTTGGAAATCCACGCGCAGTGATGTAGCTTGGGGTGGGGAAGGCTATCTCCTGCCCGTTCCCTCCCGGGTCGTGCCAGTGTGTACTGTCGCCGGAAAAAGCACGCCTGGGGCTTGTGCAGAACCTGTTCAAACCAGTAAAAATATGTCGTTTACTGTATGTGTGTGTGCTGCATACTTTACCAACAAATAAAAGTTAAGGGCTTAATTGTATTAATAGTTCAGATGGGAGAGTCAGCTCAGACCAAATCTGAACTTTAAGACTTAGAAAAATTATGTTTTCACTTGGTAGTGGCAGGTTCTTATTTAGGATCCTATCTCAGCAGGGCTGAAAACGTGCTCTCTCTCCTAGATTGCTCACTAGGGGGCAGTTGGAATGATGCAGTTTTTCAAATTTCTTGAAATTATAAAAACCATTATTACTAAAAAGTCTGCAGGGTTCGCTCTAGAGAAGACTGGCTGATACTGTGGGCAGAGTTTAAGACTGTCCAGTCTTATGTTAAGGTAGGACAAGGACAGGGAGAGAGGGGCGCTTTTCTGCCAAAGATTCTTTGGAAACTTTTTGCTTAAATGTTTGGCCTCACTTTCAGAACATTCTGGAATCATTTCACAAATTTGACTGATAGATGCTTGAGTTTCCAGCAAGTCATGGTGATGCTTATCTAATAATCATCAATGAGGGCATGATTATGGGCATTTATTGAGTATATGTTTGCCTGGCACTGTGTTAAGAACTTTACATTATCTCATTTAATGAATTTAAGTAAGTGATGTAAATTCCAAATACCAAAAAAAAAAAAAAAAAAAGCTGTCACCTGATGAGGACTTTGATTTGGGTTATCAAGTTTTCCTTTTTTCTTAAAAATAAGGACATTGAGGACAAAGTTGGAAATTTTAAGGGTCTTAGAGATTTCCTCACGTTTTTATTATTAGCCTTGGCAATGGTTTTTAAGAATGGGAAACAAGCATTCACAAGTGTACTTCTCTTGAAGTGACCATGGAAGAATTTGTCCTCAGTGAGAAATAGCACGTTTTCAGCATTGCTGAGATAGGATTCTAAATTAGCAACTGCTGTCACCAAGTCAAATATATATTTTTCTAAATCAGAGAGCATGTCATACAGGCTTCTAGTACATCAGTTAATAATCCTACAGCTAGAGCTGATAAAGGTGTGGTCGTCCTCCTTCAGTGTGCTCACTAAGAGCTTAAGATGGCTCTTGCTTATTCTTGTATCTCCAGCTCAGCTGCTAGTACACAAAAGGTGATTAAAAAATACTGGTGTGATGAATATTAGCAAATCACATTCTTTTGAATTAACCATAAAGTGGCTTCTATGAGAAGCTTCAGTATGACCTTGAATGTAATATCTAAGTGTCTTGGGGTTTTGATTCCAAATGCTGAAGTTGGCTAGGTGAGAGCTCTAAAATATTTTTGCCAATCATCTAATACAGAAAAAGCAGGGTCAATATTTGCCTCCTATTCCTGGTCTGTCGCAACTTTTTGGTTCTAAATTTTATTTATTAAAAATAGAGTTTTTATCACCAAACTACTAGCAGTGTTATTTTACATTGTCTCAAATTGTCAAGCTGACAAACTACTGAGTTGAGAACTTCATAAAATAAAAAAGTCACAAAGAAACTTCTAGTGAACACGGATACATTCTGAGTCAAATAAGCTCTGCCATGAAATTTTCTGGAGAAGCACATCTTGAGTAGAGATTCTCTGACAGTAGAAATTCTGTGAAGTTGCACTAGATAGAACATGTTGGCTTGGATATAGGGAAACAGGATTAGAGTTTAAGAGAACTGAGTTCCCCCCACCCCCAATAATATAATAGTTTATTTTTACATCATTTTGTGCCTTTTTCCATCTCAGTTGTAATCCCCGTGGGCTGCCCATCACCAAATCACCGTGTGCCATCACCATAGTCCAGTACACTTCCCTCCCCCCACTGGAGAACTGAGTTTTTAAGTCTGTGCCCCATCACTCTCCATGCCACTTTAGCCAATACCACAGTTGCCCAGGCGCTCCCCATAAATGCCAATAACAGAATACATTGAAAAGGATTATTTGTTAGACAATGTGTTTTATTTGTGGGGGATCAGCATACTTAGTTCTCCTCTTGACTGAGAGTTCCTTCTATGTGAGATTTGATGCTTAAAACTCAGTGTTAAGGAAGGGAAGGCATAGAAGGGGAATAAATATTTCAGCTCTTCATTTTTCCATTTCACAAATCCTTATTTAGAGCTATGTGTCTGGTAGGGGGGATACAAACATCAAAAATTGAATTTATAACACTGGCCCTCAGGGAGTTTGTATATCCAGAAATTGTTAATATCAGTAAAGTTGCAGTAGGATATGTGAACATTGGTCCTTGGTGGATTTTCCAATATTGAATAAATGCAACTTTGTATGTTAAGGGTTTTGCATGTTCCTGCTAGTGGAATTAAAGAGATGATTTACTGTCATAGGCTCTTATTTCCATCATATTACGTTTCTGTTCTCTACTGGAGATTGGACTCTAGGCGTTAGCTCCTCATGCACATCATTTAGTGAGGGCACAGCCATCTGTATTCACTGTTATGGACTTGAGTGGCAATATTACTCAATTTTACTCAGACACAAGTAGTCATAAAATACTCACCACCACATGGCTCAGGAGAGGGGAGGAGACTACCACATGGCAAAGTTGGAGCCATTTGCCAAATCTACAACCAGTTCAAAAACTGTTGGCCAATTTTATTTTAACTGTTAATTGATCAGAATCCTGGTTGACAACAATCAGGGCAGTCCTTTCATTCCAGAACAAGATTCTGTTTTAACAACAATCTACAAGCCATATGCTGAATTTTAACACTACATGAAGCTTGAACATTTAAATGCCAACTTGACTGTTCCTAATGAATAAAACTTCTGTGACACCACAATTTCCAAATCTCTTCATACCTTAGGGTCATGTATACCATGAATAGTTCTTGGAACTAATGGGCCTGACATTTTGTGACTCTTGGATTTAACTTCCCTAATGTACTCAGAAGGTCCAGCTTCTGTAGTGACTAGTTTCAGTGACGTTGGAAGTGCCGGTGTAACTCAGATCACACATTTTCACTAAAATCTTCAGACTTCATACAGTTATGTAATAAAGAACATGCTATAATGTGATAGTAAAAACACATTTGTTTAAATGACTATGAAGTAATGTTTTGCCTATTTGACCACAAGAATGAAGAAAGGTCTCAGGGTCCTAGCTTTTTTCTTGGCACCATATGTAACCCCTTCACTCACAGAACTTCATGCTGCAATGATTCTAGCTACTCCTTAAAAAGTTGTAAGTGGAGAAGACAACTTAGTGAGGGAACCACCATCTGTATTCACTGTTATGGACTCACATGGCAATATTACTACTTCATTTTATTCAGACACAAGTAGTCATAAAATACCACCATATGGTTATTTTATATGAGTTGTTGGATTAATAAAAAAGATTCTGTTTTAGTGCAGAGCCAGAGACTAGCCTGCACCAAGTCAACCAACCTCCCAACTTCATCTCCTGGGGGATGAGAAGCATGTGCTTGTGTGTGGGGGCAAAATTTGCTTGCCTAGGAGGATCGCAGCTGGCATTGGGTGGTGGTAAATGTTTGATAGGACTGGGCATCACAGTGGAAGGCTTTATTATCTCAAGGGAATAGAAACGAAGTTTTGGAAGCCATGTTAACAGACACATTTGTGCAGCTGCCTTGGGGGTAGAGCTGTTGTATTTTAGCAAAGTCCTCCGAGGGTGAAACTTATTTCCTTTGGAGTTGTACACCGTAGAGCAACCCAAATTGAGTTATTTCCTTCCCCTAATGATAGAATTTATCAGCAACTATGTAGCATTTTGACTCCCCTCTCTAGCAGATGTTTGGCTTAACCAAGTGTGTATGTGAAGCCGCCACACTCCCTATTGCTTTATTTTCTCACCTTACAGTGAGTTTGTAGCATCTGAACTTCCAGAAATGGGTTCTGATAGGGGTTCTTGGTTACTGCTTAATATACTTGATTTTGAAGTCTTGAAAAGATACTGGCTATTGAAAGGTAATAAAATTATTGAAGGTGGTCTCATTGTGAAGGTCAAATTTTGTTTATTTATTCTAAAGGTTTACATTTGTTATATTATACCTAAGTGATAATCTTTTATGTTTTAAACATCATAAGTAATTCAATATGTCCATTCAAAAGATTTTGAAATTGATATATGATTTTGAAATGATTATGAACAAATCATCTGTGTTGGTATATGTTTATTTGTGATACTTTTAATTTAATATATATACGTATATATTATATATACGTATCTATCACTTATAATTTTATACAGACATACAGATATCTATGATACCATGTTATACATATTACCTATATATGATATGATCTATATATATATCTTTTCTTGTGACATGCCATACACTAAAATACTAGCTCTTTGGAGTGCGGTTAAAAAATTATTTATTGAAGTAACATTATACCACAGCACTATATGTGTGAAACAAATGTATGTTATCACACCGTGCCCACCACCAAATTCCAATAATCCTCTTCTGTGGTCCATTGGGCTTCCCCCTCTTGCTCTCACCCCTCACCTTCTCTTTTTGTGGCTTTACTTCTGTAGTTAGATTTCAAGGGTTTGTTGTGGTTTGAGTCTGCTACTTTTTTTTTTTTTTTTTATATTCCACCTATAAGTGAAGTCACCTGGAATTACCTTTCACCTTTTGACTTATTTTGCGTGGCCTAATTCCTTTCAGACCCATACATATTATCTCAGATGGCAAAATTTCATCTTTTATTATTGTTGAGTAGTAATTTACTGTGTACATATACCACATATTCTTTATTCACTTACCTGTTCTGGGATACTTGTGTATTTTCCATTAACTTGACTGTTGTAAGCAGTGCTGCAATGAACATGGAGATCATCTACCCTTTCAAAATAGTGTTTTTGTGTTCACTCCTAGACACCTAGGGGTAAAACTGCTGGATCATGTGGTGATCTATTTTTAATATTTTGAGAAACTTCCATAATATTTACCCTAGGGGTTGGGCCAGTGTGCAGTACTACCAACAGTGTATGAGGATTCCTATTTTTTTTTTTACATTCTCACTAGTACTTGTTGTTTCTGGATTTTTTGATGTGGGTCATTCTCATGGGTGTGAGGTGGAATCTCATTGTGGTTTTTATTTACATTTTCCTAGTAAGTATATATGAGCATTTTTTTCATGTGTTTGTTGGTTATCTGCATCTTCTTTGGGGAAGTGTCTATTTACCTGTTCTTTTCATTTTTTGGTGGGGTTATATGTTTTCATTCTGTTGAGGTGTATATGTCTTGGATATTAGGTCCTTGTTGCATGTATAATGTACATCTATCTTCTTACACTAAGTAGGGGTATCTTTTGCTTTAATGATAATTTTATTTGCTGTGCAATACTTTTTAGTTTGATGTAGTTCCATTTGTTTATTTTTGTTTTTGTTTCCCTTGTCATTATAGTTGATGCCCCAAAGACATCCCTTAAACCAAAGTCTTTTAAGTGTTTTGTTTATATTTTCTTCTTTGTATTTTATGCTTTCAAGTCTTTTATCCATGTTTTTAATCCATTTTGAGTTAATGATGTGAGATAGTGGTCTGGCTTCATTATTTTGTATGTCTCAGTTTTCTCAACACCATTTTTTGAAGATACTTCCCTCTCTCCTTGTTCTACTCTTGATTGCTTTGTTAAAGATTATCTATCTATTTAAGTGTGGATTTATTTCTGTTCTATTCCTTTGGCGTGTATATTTATTTTTATTCTAGTACCATGGTGTTTTCATAATAATAACTTTGTAGTATAGTTTTGAGTCTGGGAATGTGATACCACTTTTTTTTGTTGTTGTTGTTAGGATTGCTTTGGCTATTTGAGGACTTTTCTGTTTTCACACACATATTAGTAGTTTTTTTTTTCTATTTCTTTGAAGAATGCCATTCAAATCTTAACAGGGGTCGAAGTGAATCTGTATATTGCTTTGGATAAGATGGTCATTTTGACAGTATTAATTATTTCAATCTTTGAGCAGGAACTTCTTTTTATTTTTTGTGTCTTTTTTTTTTTTTTTTTTAAACAATGTCTTACAGTTTTCATGGTGCAGACTTTTCACCACCTTTGTTTCCAGGTACTTTTTCTTTTTGATTCAATTGTAAAGAAGATTGTTTTCTTGATTGCTTTCTCTTCTGGTTCATTGTTTGCATACAGGTACATAACTAATATTTTGTATTTTGATTTTGTATTCTGCCTTTTTCCTATTCTGATATTTTTTTTAGTATTTTTTTTTTGTGTGTGGAAACTTTAGGGTTTTCTGTGACTACTTTCATCTGAAAGTAATGTTTATTCCTTTCCAATATGGATTCCTTTTATATCTTTCTCTTGCTTAATTTAATGACTCTCCCTGGGATTTCCAACACTATGTTGAATAGTAGTGGTGTGCTTTCATTTTTTTACATTTATTTATTATTTTTTAAAAAGCAGGTTAATTACTAAAAGGAGAAAGAAAAAGAAAGGCCCTGGCATAGTCACAGGTGGTCAGGAGAGCTGCCTAAAGTGGACATTCTCTTGTATCCAGTCTTAGAGGAAAAGCTTTCAGTTTCTAATTGTTCTGTATGAGGTTGGTTGTTCATTTTTCATGTATGAGAAGGCCACAGATGATCTGTATTATGTTCAAGTGTGGAACTGGAGTTCTTAAAGAATGTCTGTTGAGAAGAAGTTCCTCCTAAGATGTTATGTCTAGTTATTTCTATTTGGATGTGAAACACAAAACAGTCGTTTAAAAATTTACCCACGAAGGTCATTGATTCAAATGCTAGTCTCAAGAGTCATCTCATTTTCTTTGAAGATTGTTCTTAATTTTATTACTGTGGAAAAGGTAAAGCAGTTCCATTCCAGAGAAGTAAGTATTTTTGAGACTTCCTGAGTTACCTGTTAGTGGCTAAACACTGTAATAAAATGTATCCTTCACTTTTTAGAAACCAGATATGGCACATTGTCTTTGTCTTGTTGTGGTTATACTGTTCTACTCTGTTTTGTAGCCTTAGTTCCTGAGAGGGTAGCTGTTAGCACATTGTCCATATGTATCTAGGTTTCCTGCTACTCAAAAATCAGTCAAGATAATGATGTAATTTTTTAAAATTAAAATCTTGTTTTCACATATAAAAGTTAAAAGAATTTATGATATGCTAGTTATTCAGCATATATAGGCTTTCAAATTCAGACTCCTTTTTCATTTGGAAGCAAATTTTCTGTTTCTTATTTGGTGCTTAATGAGTGGAAAATATAAAGACGTATCAGTTCCCAATCAGCTCCTAATCAGCCCATCAGAAAACATAATTGCATACAAAATGGGTGAAAAGTTTTAGAAGTCAGATATTCAATAGAAGAGTTCTTTTCAAGTAACTACTCTCTTCATCACTCTCAAGTAAATTGCTTTAGTATCCCTAAAGAGAATATATTGTGTTAGATGCATTAAATAGATATTTCAGTGGATGCCTACTACATGGGAGTAGGGATAATAAGGTGTGGAAATAGTTCCTGTCCTAAGTGTACATTTACATTGTAGTGGGGTAGACATGTCATTTCCACAGTATTAACAACGCTACCACAGAGAAGAAATAGAGAATGAATTCACAGAAAAATGCTGTAGGAACAAAATTTTCTGAGTACAAAGGAGAAGGATCAAAATCATCCTTTGTGCTAGGAAACTTCTTGAAGGGGAGGAGAGGAATCAAATTCAAGGGATGTGAACCGACCAAATGCAACTCTCATTGGAAACCAAGGTGAACAAAGGCATTGAGAACCAAAAGGGATAATGTTGGCCCCTTGAATTACAGTGGAAATTTGGTAAGCAAAGACTGATAGGGATTACCTGGATAGGTAATTTGCACTGGACATGAAGTCTTTGCAGGTTTATCACAAAAATGTGCACTGTATCTATAGTATGCATTCATTTTAAAATCCAAACAATTTTTAAAAAATAATATAATAGTTTATTTTGACATCATTTTGTGCATTTTTCCGTCCCTGTGGGCTTCCCATCACCAAATCACCCATGTGCCATCAACATAATCCAGTGCACTACCC